TTAGAATTTGATGCTAATCAATAATATATATACTTTGTGTAATTTTTGATGCTTCCTTCCGGGCGTTTGAAACATTTCGATAAAATGAATAGAGGCAGAACTGTTTACCAAAAGAATGGTCATAAAGAGAAGAAAGCCAGTGTTGTAAAAAGTTCGTATAACTATTGGCAATGCGTTCTAAAAATTCCGTCCACAGCAAAGCTTTTCGAAGATCCATTGAATTTCATCACCCGACATAGAGTGCGACATAAGCTGAGAAAACCTGTTTGGTACGATAGCCAACATCCATCAACTACAGCAGTGAAAATTTCAAAGGATACGTCATTTCATTTCCATACAACTATGACGAGGGGTGATCTTACAGTGCATGTACCAAAGGAAGAAAAACCGGGTAGGACCAATCCAAGCTTAATTTCAATTTGAAACTTTTTTATTTTGACAATGAAGGTAGGGGATGTAAAAAATTCGACCATAGCCGTAAATAATTTTCTAATTTGAGTTTGTTTTGTTCCGCATAGCTTATCAGTTTCCCTAACACTACAAATACCGAATACGTCATTTTGATCCTTTTCAATTCCTGATTTTCGAAAAAGTGCTTATAATGTTGATGTAATTCCAAAATATTTTGGTGACTTTTACTTATACGAAAAGTGTTTCAAATGTCAATAATCAATATTTTTACACCTGATGCAGTGTGTTCGAGATATGCCCGACAGATGCCTGTTTTTACCAAAGGGGACGTCTTGATCCACATTTTGTAACCGCTTGCCATATTCGTAAAAATGAAGATAAGAAAGAGAGAGAGAGAGAGAGAGATTTGATCGATTATCAATCTATTGTTGAAAAAATAATTTCAACCTGCCCTACCTACAAGCCCGTTATAAATAAAAAACTGAAGTAATCCCAAAAAACAATAATAACTTCTTCATATTTTCATCTACAATTTTCGCTATTGTGAAATCATTTTGAAAACCTGCTATTAAAATGGTCCTGATCGGTTTACTGATACGATAAAATCTGAATTCAAATCTACTTTTGATAGAATTGAGGAATAGGTTAATACGCGTTAAAGCAAACTGGAAATATTACCACATGTTAGTCAATTAATTGGACTTGGTCCTAGAGAGTACGTGAACAAGTTTATGCAAATATCTGCACGGAATCAAAACTTATATACCAAAATATGGAAAAATTGTCGATGGTTTTTCGACGTCGATAGTGTTTTAGTTTGTTTTGCATTGTGGACGCGCGTGTGGACATATCGCAACAGCAGCCAACTCGTCCAGAGCAAAAGTGCGCAATGGAGCGTAAACTGGGCGCAATCAATTTTTTTTCAACAAAATCTTTTGGATTGTTTCGCATCACTCGGAAAATATCAAAGTTAGAAGTTATGAAATTTTCCACATTTACTTTACGAAATACTCTACCCCTTATGTCCAAAAATGGAATCAATCGGCCATATCCACACAAGTTATAAGGTTACAGGTAATAAAATTTTATTTTGTTTCACTTTTTTTTTATGTTTATTTATCATAAGGCAAACAAGACAGAATGTTTAAAACTATTTTGCACACTCCTTAAATGAAGACATACTATCTGCCGAAGAAGGGATTAGTTCTAAAACAAATATCGTAGACACCGCAATCAAGTTTTTCTTAACAATATCAGCGACATCAAATGAGCATCAAATAAAAGAACTTGGAGAGTAGAATGCGAAAAACATAGTGGCGGCCATGAGAGACCCGACCCCTGCCGAATATAACTTTCTTACTTGTTTTTGTTCCAAATACTCCGACTTTGTTTCTTTTTAAAACCATTTAAGTTGTATATTAAAATAAAGGTACAATTTTCCTAATTTTTACAAAAGTTCGTTAAATCTTTGCATTTATTCTCGCAAACAGGCATGTCTGTGTGTGCGTTATGATTAGTTTATTAATGTATTTTTTTTTTAATTTCGTTCTATTTAGTGTTCCAAACAACGACATTGCATCCGCCTTTATCGAAACTGAACATCTTTGTTACGTAAACACTTTTAAAATTCCTAAAAGGTTACACTATTTTTTACATTTTTTGCAAAGCATTCGCAAAAAAGAGAAAAAAAGTATTTTATCTTTTTATTATTATTGCACAGGCTACTGATTATTATTCATTAATGTCGGCATTGATTCATAATATAATAGTTTAGAGTTTTGTTTTTGCTAACACATCCGTGAAAATCGAATAAAGAGATATTCGCTTCTCTCTCTCTCTCTCTCTCTCTCTCTTGCCTTTTATTTATTTTTCTTTTTTTCATTGAATGCATATTTTTATAAATGATTGCACACCTTTTTAAGATGTTATAAATGAAGTAGTGAAATAAAAATAAATACATACACACGTACAAACATATATTTCAATATCTGGTAATACACTTTGTATAACAATGTACAACAATGTAAAGCAATGTTAATTATAAACTGCAAACCAATAAGAAGACAATGCTGTCAATTATTGCCGCAACGATGCTACGCTATGCTATCATACCGGCAGATGCACAGATGTGCATACAGATGGAAAGAGGAATTGCATACTTAATAATCAGCTTGTTGATGACGTAAAATATGCTCAAGTATCGATTAATATATCATCATTTTGTAAATGCTTTGCATGGGAGGCGTGCATAATATTTGTCTCATTAATGAAATGAGGGAATTAAAGCAAAGCAATTACGTAGTTTCTTTATTTAATCAAAACATAAACTCAAGAATCTCGTATTCAATCAGATAATCTCTTGAATGTATGGAATACATGTACCGAAGGAAAAACTTGTTTCATTTCCTAGAATTATTTCATTAAAATATTTATTTTTGATTTTTTCTATACATATAACATAGCTTCGATTTCGTAGACCTGCACGAACATCTTGCACGTTTAAAGATTAAAAATTTTAAAACTAATTATTATCGCTGTTATGCTTGACATATCTATAAAGTATTAATAACGCGTAGGAAAGTATACAGAATATCTGTCGAATACTACTTAAGAAGTGATAGAAAATCGCAGGCAAGTATCCAGAATCACAGAGCTTTGGAGCTTTAAACGGTCTAAAATCTCACACCATGATGTAGTAGTACACAGAGAGACTCTGAGCGACTGTTAACCCAAACGTTTCTAATGTCGTTTAATGTCTGATTAGTGCATAGGGCTATGTGGAACTAAAGGCATAAAAAGCCGCTGTATAGAACTTTAGACTTAGTACAAAACCCAGTCTACGATTTATCAGAAGACGATCCTCCGCAGATTGCTGCTAAGAGAAGAAAGACAAGTTCAGAATCATTTTCTGAATCGATCGATATAATAGAATGTTGCACTATCTTAAGTTCTTCCGAGGACTTCTGTTACATACAAACCGCACATAAACTTATAACATAAGTTGTGTAGAGTATAAAAAATGATCTCGCGCAAGCCAAAAATGAATTCTTTCGATAGTAATTAGAAACCGCTTGGGTGTCTTTTCAATGATCGTATAGTTGTTTACATTTTTTTCCAATTACTTCCATAAAGCGACCACAAGAAGAAAGGATAGCGCGTTTTCCTCAACTTGGCATTTCTCGTATAGCAGTCACAAATACACAAAAAATGTATAAGTTATGAATATTCTTGATGAATGTGAATTTGTATTGTTGATGTTGTTGGAATTTTCGAAAGTGCAAAAATTGAACGGATAGTGTATCATCTCTATGTGGATTTATAAGAATATGAATATGTGCACACGTCTAATATAATGAAAAAAAAAAAAAAAACTATTATAATAATGCTATGACAATTAAACATGACTTGACTTGGTTTCTAATTTATAAAGAAGGAGTTAAGTTAAACAATTCTCTCAGAGATTTCTATTCAAATTATTTTGCGCTATCATCCAAACTAACTGAAATTGACGCTTTAATTAATATTAATTAAGTTTAAATTGAAAGTTTTTGAAATTCATTTGATTTGCTACCTCTTATAAATATAGCTATGTGTATGTATGTGTGTGCGCGTTTATAATTATAGCTCAAAGCTCATCTTTTTTTTGGCAGCAAAACCTCTTAGAGAAATTCGTATATGTACATAGAAATGAATATACATATGAAATATATATATGCATATATATATATATATATATTTTTTAATAAATAACATCATTAGTTTAGTTCACCCATTCGAGGATGATGTACTATAAATATTCACCTTAAAAATAACAATTAATGATCTCCTAATCTAGTTATACATAAAGGTAAGCGTGCGCACATATATGCAAAAAATAAAGGTACCTAAAATGTCTATCTAACTATCTATGTTTTTTGCTTATAAAAAATCTTCCTTTCACTTCGCTAAGCACTTCAACGGTGGGCGAACACATGACAGCGAAAAATTGGTGATTGTATATCGTTCGATCTCTATATAGCATCTGACAGTCACGTTTATAATCAATATTTATTACTTTTATTTTGTTTTCGTATTAAATTCGTTTACTTTTCTGAACAATTATCCAACAGTTCCATTCACGCTATATTATAATCCAGATAGATCCAATTTAATATAATTAAAATTTCCTCACTAAGAGAATAAACAAGAAAAAGATTTTCCGTCGACTTGATAATAGCAATCAATAGTTACTTGAATAGGAAATTAAGGAGCTACGTACAAATTTCCATACATGTTTACAATAAAGAATTAGTTGCGATCAGGATATTCAGGTTGGATAGAACTGTTTATGAAAATTGAGATCTCAACATTGATCCAAACTTGCTTTTATTTGAAGAAAAAAAAACAAATTTTTAGTAATTTAGGACAATCGTACGTGCTGTCAACGAAGGTGTTAAATCAGCTGTGTTCGCATAGAGCTGCAAGGCTTCTTTCTACTGCACTTTTTCTAGGATTATTCTCACATCACTTGTCTAATGAAATGTCACTTGTCTCTCTCTTTGTTTTTCAATGAAAACTAAATAAAATAAATAAGTCAACATCGATAATGTTGAATTTTCCAAAATATTTACCAGAAAACATAATAAAATTTAGTAAAAACTAAACATAAACCATCAAAATGTCGAATACGCAGCGTTCTTTTGCCCAAAAGTTGTCGAAGTGGGTGCAAATTATTCGAAAAATTGCATAAAATGTCCTTTTTTCAAACGGGGCGTTTGCTTTACTTTTTTTTTTTTTTTTGCTTATTTAAGAAGAATTGGAAAAGTGAAAATTTTTTCATAATTTTTTGCAAATTTACAGGACTCATGCAACGGATGTGCGTAAAAATGTGGTCAATTGTCACATGCACACGAAGACGACCGATACCTCGTCAATGTGTTCATCAACGGTAAAGATCTCTCTGCATTACCTGTGTTAATATTAATAAAACTAAAAATCTGGCGCTGTTAACATTGACTAGCCATAAGAGAAAGTTTTCTTGGCGATGAGAACTGAGGGTGAAAAAGTAACGGAGATTGGATATGTCAATTGATTTAATTTACTGAAGACTATTGTATATTCATGCAAATATCAGATATAATTGGGTTTCCGATTATAGCTTACAAAGTATTAGCATAATAGATAGTTTTCTTATTATTATTAATTAATGGGATAGTATTTGCTTTCTGAAACTACACTAACGCAACACAACTGCTTTTACGAGCCATTTAAAAGATATATCCAAAAGCTGATGTGATGGGCATTTTAGAAGTGAAAAAAACAAGATAATAAGTTGTTTTCTTCTCATAGCTTTCTTTGACTGAACCGGTTGAGCCATTGGACTATGAGGAATTTCTAAATCAACATATGAATATATTAAATCGAGACCCCTTGAAGCATATATTAGATTTTCCTCCAGCTGATGTTACCGTCAAGACTGTGCCACGTAAAATCCGAACTTTGGAGCACATTACGCCCGAGGAAAACATGTAAGCTTAAAATCAGTAAAAACCGAAAGTGTATTTATAGACCTTTTCGAATATTTTCAGCGCTGATTTGCCTCAACATGTACAAGAATGCGTTAACTGTTATGTGCGTCCTTGGAAAGTTGTGGAATATGCTCAACGCCATTATTCCAGCTCTTGCTGCACTCGAGAACGTATTGATCGAGGCACAATCAGCCCTTCAGCATATCAACAAGAATTCGAAATTGATAAAGATTTTGCTTCATTCGATGAATCATCGCTGACTGACCACAGCAGCTGCACACCCAGTTCACGTCAATCAATAGCAAGCCTTTCTTCGGTGAGCTCTTGTACTGATACTCTCACTCCACGTGGTTCCTGGGCTAGTTTCGATTTGAGACGATCCATTAATGATCCTTTAATACCAAGTTTATTGGATGATTTACCACCCGAACACGTTGACCAAGCTAATGAGATAAAAAGACAAGAAGATCGGCAAGAAGCTCTATTCTCTCTGTATCCAGAGGCAGAAGCTGAAGATTTGATCGAGAGACGTTTGCCGGCAGAAATACCTATTGAGCACGTTGGCCATAGAATTTTTGTCAAATGTTTACAATTGCGTTTGGAACTAGAAGTTGAACCAATATTTGCCTCCATGGCCATATACGATGCTAAGGAGAAGAAGAAAATATCTGAAAATTTTTATTTCGACATGAATTCGGACTGCTTAAAACGCATGCTAAGTTCCCACGTACGATGTGCTGATGTCAGTACACAGAGTCGGTCTGCTATTTTCGAAATTAGTTATCCTAGCAATGATCTTTTTTTGGTAATACGCTTGGAAAAAGTTTTACAAGGCGACATAAAAGATTCGGTAGAACCATATCTCAAAGACGATAAAGATAAGTGCCGTGAAAAAGCCAAACAAAACGCGGCTGATTTCTGCGAAAGATTGGGAAAGTATCGCATGCCTTTTGCATGGACTGGTATCTATTTGACCAATGTGTTTAATGGCGACAATTTTGAGGGCAAGGAGGGAAACTGTGCTACATTAGAAAGAGAAAGCGGCGGCGGTTCCTTATCTGCTGCAATTAGTTCTAACAGTTTGGATCGCAAGTCATCTACTAGTAGCTTTGATCAGTTGCGACGAAAAGCAAATGATATGAGCGGAACTTTAACACGTCGTGGATCTCTAGAACGCAAAGAAAAGCGACGATCTTGGTCTCCTGATGATTTCGCTAATGTAATCGAATCATTTCGTCCCATTACGATAACAGTATCCAGTTTCTTTAAGCAGGAGGCAGATAAAATGAAAGACGAAGATCTTTATAAGTTTCTGCTGGAATTAAAGAGACCCAGTTCGGCGATGAAAAAATACAAATGTATACCAGGTTCAATAAGATTAGAAATATCTCCGTGCCCAGAGGATATAAAAAATGCTCTTACCCCTGACCTAGCTAAGGTTTTACCCTTTGTTGATGATAATACGAGACCAATAAAGGAGATTTTAGAACTTCCGCCTATGGCTATTTATAATCCCCACTATACATATCGTAATCTGGTGTTCGTGTCTCCGAAAGAATTGAATTTCTCCTCACGTGCAGGGTCAGCAAGAAATATTGCTGTAAAAATACAACTGATGGCTGGTGAAACGCAAAACGATGCGATTAACGCAATATTTGGGAAGTCATCTAGCCCTGAATATTCCACTGAAGCTTTTACAGCGGTTAATTATCATAATAAGTGTCCAACATTCTATGATGAAATTAAGATTGCCTTGCCAGCGAATCTCAAACAAAATCACCATCTCTTTTTTACTCTATATCATGTGTCGTGTCAGAAGAAGCCTCAAGAGACGCAAGTGTCCGTGGAAAGCCCTGTTGGCTATACTTGGCTACCTTTATTGGAGGATGGGAAATTAAAAGTGGGAGAATTTCAATTACCGGTTATGGTGGAATTACCCCCTGAAAACTATTCGTTTATACCGCCAAATGTTCATTTACCCGGGACAAAATGGCTCGATAATCATAGACCAGTTTTCACCATTACGATAGAGGCAGTAACTTCAGTGCATACATTGGACGCTTACTTGGATCGTTTCTTTTTAATGTGCGAATATTTGGATTCACGGAAAATACCCGCCCGAATCGGCGAAGCGAATATGGAAAACGAAATGAAAAAATGCTTACTAGACATAGCCAACGCAGAGCGCGAACATTTGGTTAAAAATCTACATTTAGTTTTGGATAAATTGATCGAATTGCTAATCACCACCTACAAGATAGGTGGTCAAACTTTGTCTTTGGGTTCTACTGTATTTGAAGTGTTGTGCTTGGTATCGGCACATTTGGCGATACTAAGCGATGATTTAATAGTTGATCAATACGGGAGACAGACGTTACTCGCAACATACGTGCAATTTCAAAGTAAAATTCCTCATCCGTTTTGCAACAAGCGACGCATAACTTGCAGCCGCAGCAACAACGAAGAAATTAACACTACGTCGTTTGCAGACACTTATAGTTTGTATGACAATGTGTTAACCGGACGCAGCTTAGATCGTAAGGCTAACTGCTCCAATTCAATCTGCTTAAATACTGATTACTTAAAAAATATATTCTATTTTACGATATTTAGAAATGACTGTGGAAATGTCGCCAACATTTATAGGACGTGACGGTCAAATACGTCTTTTACATGAAGAGCTGGCACTTCATTGGGTAGTGGCAAGCGGTCGTGCTGCTGAACTGGGAATGAGCAATTCTTGGTTTTTATTCGAACTTATCGTTAAATCTATGGTAGAGCACCTGGATTTGGCCCGCTGTCTACAAGCGCCCCGTAAACAAAGGTTTCCTCACCAATTCACCGATGACATTTCCACTTTAGTTCATCTAGTTACCACTAAAGTTGTTGGCTACCATAGTAGTGAACCAAAATTGGCTCAATCATTAAACGCTAGCCTCAGTTTCTTCATCTTCGATTTATTCAGCATTATGGACCGTGGTTTTGTATTTGGTCTCATTAAAACTTACTATAAAGTGCTAATATCGAAAAACGCTTCTATACCGGATTTAATGAATTACAAAATAGATTTCTTACGTATTGTATGTAGTCATGAGCATTATGTAGCTCTAAATTTACCATTTGCTACGCCATACACTACAATCTCGGCTCCTTGTAGTCCAACGCCAAGTACTACATCCAATCACAGCATTACCTCCTATGTAAGTTTTATTTGAAGAATCCTTACTGAGATCAAAAGTTCTAGAGCGATTAGGGTTTTTTTGCTTTCTCAGAGTTCCATTGAACGAGCTTTACATGCCGATTTGAGTATAGATTTCAGGCAGCAACATTTCTTGGTGGGTTTAGTTCTTAGCGACTTGGCTACCGTTTTGGAAGTTCCGTAAGTCAATCACAAACACTTATTTTTTCCGATTTTCAAAAGTTAATTTGCAGGAATCCACAGCTTCACGGTAAAGCTATACGCTGCATACGGAATCTAATGACCTCGCACGACTTGGATCCTCGCTATAGCGATTGTGAATCGAGAGCTCGCGTCGCCTCACTCTATTTACCCCTGCTCAGCATAGTTATGGATGCTATACCGCAATTGCATCAGTATTTGACCGATAGCAATGATCGGCTTCACAGCGTTGGTCTACTCGACGACTACCAGGGACCGCATTCGACTGTAGCGACCACCACTATTAGCCCTGAAATAGCTTACGCCATTTCCGGTTCACGTCCTTATGCTTACATGTCAGATCAAGTAAAAAATAAATCACCTCTAAGCAGTGAAAATACTCGCCACTTGCTCGCTTGCTGTGTATGGATTTTAAAAAATTTGGAGAAGACTATTTTGTATCGCTGGCTTTTAGGGCTTTCGCCGCATCGCGTTCATCAAATGCTGCAAGTTTTAAACACTTGCATACCTTGTTTCGAATACAAAGGTCAAAAACGCTTGCCCGTCTTAAAACGCAATACGCAGAGTTTCCGCAAGCCTACAGATCTCAAAGAAAAGCTTGAGGAATGCATACGTGGTACTAACTCAGCACGGTATGATTTAATTAATCGGCGTAAAGATCGTAATTCCACGGAGAAATTCCGCTGGCGGAAAGACCAAATGCCTTATCGAGCTCAATTTTATGATACCATTACGAAACAAGATCCTGAACTCGAACTGAACTACTACATCGAGGGATCCTTGGCAACCGAGTGTACTTTAATTACTTTGGATTGCTTGGAAATAATAGTGCAGGTGGCCACTAATTCGGAAATACATCATAACTTATTAGGCACCGTTCTAAAAGTGCTGTTGCATGCATTATCCCGCCATCAAAGCACTTTGGCGTTAAAGAACCTTTTCGCCTCGCAAAGGGCTTTAATTTTTAAATTCCCGAATTTACTTTTCGATGAGGAAAACGATATTTGTGCTGATTTATGTTTGCTACTATTGAAGCATTGCGGTTCCCAGCTGCCGAACATTAGGTCACAAGCAGCCGCATCCTTATATCTATTGATGAGGCAAAATTTCGAAATCGGCAATGTAAGTTGATTTCTGTCAGAATGCACGGGACTTTTGTAAGATTTACTTAGGACTAAACCGACCTCTGTACCAATTGCACAATTCGTTATAGTTTTGATTCATTTTTTTTTCAGAATTTCGCCCGGGTTAAGATGCAAGTAACAATGTCGTTATCTTCATTGGTTGGCACTAGCTCAGTATTTAGCGAGCAAAGTTTACGGCGAGCTCTAAAGACAATATTAGTTTACGCTGAATCTGATACCGATTTGCAAGACACGTCATTTCCGGAACAAGTGCAAGATTTATTATTCAATTTGCACATGATTCTGTCAGATACTGTGAAAATGAAAGAATATCAAGAAGATCCCGAAATGTTACTTGATCTCATGCATCGCATAGCCAAAGGTTACCAAAACAATCCTGATCTACGGCTGACTTGGCTTGAAAATATGGCCAAAAAACATCGCGAACGTTCTAATCACACGGAGGCCGCCATGTGTTTCGTGCATTCAGCTGCCTTGGTAGCCGAATACCTTAGTATGCTGGAGTCACAACCTCACCTGCCAGTGGGAGCGGTAAGTTTTCAAAAGGTCACACCTAATGCTTTGTTGGAATCAGCGGTTTCTGACGACGTTCTTAGTCCCGGAGAAGATGGCATTTGTTTGGGTAATCATTTTACTGAGTCGGGATTAAAGGCTTTGCTAGAAGAAGCGGCCAACTCATTTCAGATTGCTGGCATGTATGAAGCAATGAATGAGGTTTATAAAATCTTAACACCGACATGCGAAGCCAATAGAGATTTTCAGAAATTAGCTAAAATTCATGGTAAACTGCAAGAAGCTTTCAATCGTATAGCGCAGCTGCAAGGTAAACGGGTTTTTGGTACCTACTTTCGGGTCGGTTTTTATGGTTCGAAATTCGGCGACTTAGATCAGCAAGAATTCATCTATAAGGAGCCTACGTTAACTAAACTACCGGAGATATTTAGTCGTCTACAGGTATGTTTTTGCATTGAGAATGAGTATATGAAGGCTCATCATTTATTTGAAATTTGATAGAATTTCTATGCTGATCGTTTTGGTCCAGATTCAGTTCACATTATTAAAGATTCCAATATGGTGGATGTAAATGGTTTGGACCCAGATAAGGCGTACATTCAAATAACTTATGTGGAACCCTATTTCGAAAATTACGAACTCAGACATCGCGAAACGTATTTTGAACGCAATTTCAATATAAGTAAGTTGGATGTGTTTTATTTGATCTGATTATAATGATTGATTTTATTTAGAGCGTTTCATTTATGCCACACCTTTCACGAAATCTGGTAAAGCACACGGCGAGTTGCACGAGCAATGTAAACGTAAAACCATTTTAACAACGGCGAATCATTTCCCTTACGTCAAGACACGTATACAAGTTATTAGTCGTCAAATAATTATATTGGAACCGATTGAGGTAGCCATTGAAGATATACAAAAGAAAACTTTAGAATTGGCTGCTGCGACCAATCAAGAGCCGGCCGATCCCAAAATACTGCAAATGGTTTTGCAAGGCTGCATTGGAACGACGGTAAATCAGGGGCCAATGGAAATGGCGACCGTGTTTTTGTCAAATCTTTCCGACGGCGTCAGCATACCCACTAAGCATCAAAATAAGTTACGTTTGTGTTTCAAGGAATTTTCGAAACGTTGCACCGACGCCTTGAAGAAGAATCGCAATTTAATCTTATCCGATCAAAAAGATTATCAACGAGAGCTAGAACGTAACAATGAACGTTTCGTAGAACGTCTAACGCCATTGATAACGCTAACAGCTACTCAGGCACTGGGCGTTGTCAAGTGAGTTCCATTTGCAAAAATTCAAGATAGCGTTAAACTTTTGCTAATTAAAATATTCTTACAGAGCTAATGCTAATAATAATCGTGGCACTCCTTTGAAATGGTAAATTTATTTGTTTCACGACAATTTTGATTCAATTCTTTACTGACTTTTCATGTTAAAAAAAAAGAAAACTAATCTTTGCATCATTTTTCCTCAAATTTATTTTATGTCTGTTCAACGGGATGTTATTTAAACTATTTACCATTAATACTTGTAGCGTTTCGGATTACTTTAAGTAATTTTTCATTAAAATTAGGCATGTTTCTTAATAATTTCTATATGATATTTTATTAAAGAATTTGTACTTACACATTTTGCTTTAGATATATAAACGAAAAAAAAAAAAGTAAGCGTACAATGTATTATCAGCGTAGCACTACAAATTTGCAATTTATGTACTCGTAGTTTCTTAGTGGACCATATATAGAAAAATAAATCAAAATCCTTAGAAAGTTTTAATTTTAACTTAAAAAAAAAAATAAAGGGAATCTTGCACATCGTACAAGAAATATATCAGTAAATTTATTTAGAGCCTAACCCCATGTCTTTGTAAGCTTTGTAGAGAGAATATCTCTGCAGAGGTTCATACACATCAGATTTATTATCGAGAGAAAATAATGAAATGAAATGTTAACGATAATAATATTTATTTAAACATTTTGTATACGTTTTTCTAGAAATCTTAATAATAATAAAAGAAGCATTAAAAGCTCATATTTATGGTCTTAAATACTTTTGTACTTTTTACACACATAAAAATACTGGAAGAAACACTAAAAACTAAATGCATATTATTAGGAAAATAATAATTAGGCACCGTGTCTGTTCGTTCAGAGCATATAAAAATTGCATATTTGAAATTTTCGTTTACTCTCAGGTACTAATAATATCTCCACTTTTCACGAACGCCTTTGTTTGCTTTTAATTTTAATGGTCGTAAAATTAAATTAGATTAAATGTTTGGCTACGTTCCTAAGCTTTATCGTTTTAAAGTTACTTTCCATTTTTTCAGCGTATTCTAGTCAAACACGATCAGTCTCTAACCGTTGTTTTTAAATTTAAAAGTTATTTACTTACTTACTTTCTTTACATTATTTGCAATTTCGTTTTATACTGTGTATTACGCTATAGGAAATTGAAAAGGAGCAATAAAGGCCATTTGTATGTTAGCATTTTTAAAAGCTAGCCGGGTAAATTTCCGACCGTTTGTATTACATAAATTGGGAAGATTTGATCGTCTTGCTACACGAACGCATTATGAAATGTTTACTGTGAACTCGTTGGACTTTAGCAAAACAAACTTGCCTCTATTAATTTCGCTGAAAGAGGATCGCAGTTTGCATAAGCCTGGTACACTAACAATCCACCAATGCATAAAAAATGATGAAAAAACAATGCTTGCCGTAAATACTAGAATAGTTAGTAGTAATAACAAATTCCATTTTGCGGGCAATTCCAAAAAGTGAATTACATTAGTTACGCATTTTCAGGCACCTAAGTTTGCTATTTGATTTAATTGCTTGTTAAGCGAGAGTGTGATGATATCTAGTTTAATACCATTTATTTCGATCAAAATCGAAGGCATAACCTTTCAGGCTAACAAAGTAAGTCTCTTCATCCGCTGCTCTTTCAATTAATTTCAATTTCTTCGCATGCTCTGCGGCTTCTTGTTCTGTGTTGGCGATTTTTAAACGACTAACATCATCGTTAGAGAATTTCTGCCATTCCGACAAGTCAAGGGCTATGTTCGCGATATTCGTTTCAATTGTTATATCCGTGGGCATGATATGTGAAGTCCGTAGTTTTTCCAAAAATTTCACTACATTAAAATTATTATTATTATCGATCTTAGAAAAAAGAAAAAAATTTTACATACAACTAATGTCAGTAAGTTCCAAAATTTTGGAATTTGTCGTCAGCCATTGACAAATCAAGTGCAATTGATGTTTAGTGGTTTCCTCAGATTCGCGGAATAAACACGTTAGGTAGTTATCGCAGAATATCAAATGTAAAAGCTGAGTAACGATGATGGAAATCTCGGCTATCTGAGGGGTTACTACACAAAATTTTAGAAATGCTTTATGTGAAAATACGAACGAAGGGTTTCTAAAGTACAAGTAACTTAAACTTACAATATTCCTTCTGATGCAGTTGCCATTGTCTAAGCAATTGATAGTACAAAGTGACCACGCTCAAGCATAACTTTGTATAGCATTCGCATGTGTTCTTCGATTTCTGTTTATTTGTCTGTTGGCCATTTCCATTGCTACTACTACTGGTCGATGGAATTTCTATACGGAAATTATTGAGAGTCGATGGTTGTGGCGTAGTATTATTTTCAGAACTTTCAAATTCCACTGCCATTCGTCCAGATGTATTTGGAATCTCTTGATTTTTGCCAATATCATCATCATCATCATCATCATCATCATCATCATCATCATCGTCATCATAGACGGGTAAAAGTCTGTGAATGAAATTTGGCGGTTGTATGAAACAACGATATACAAATCGGACATGTCTTAAACAAATTTCCGATAGTAACATAAAATGTTCCTTAGGCAAAGGAGAACATAAAGGGAAAGCTATTTCCAAAAGTCCACAATAAACCTAAAACATGACAAAGAGTTCCTCAAATAAAAGTGAGCAATTCAAGACTTAAAATTCTTTAGTTTACCTGTATCAGACAAGAATCATTTGTAAAGCGATATGTCGATCTTACTCGATCAGCTGCAAAAGCCGATTCCGCACTATTAGTGCATAAGAAATTCAACGCTTGGGGTAAATGGTGAGCACATTGTGATAAGCCCGACGAGATTTCGCGAAAAATCCATGGACTAGGTCGGGTAAATACTATGTGCTTCATTAAACATATTATTAATTCTACGTAATTATCTTCAAAATCGCTCGGTATATGTATCAATATGCTATTAACTAACTGGGCTAAAGCCTCGATTACTCCAAAATGTTCACAAATTTCACGAGAAAACCCCAACTTGGCCACCGCCTCCACCGTTATTTGCAGCAGATAATACTCGCCACGCTTGCATTTAATCAGAGCCAGTGATAAGGCAGGAACAAATTTGCAAATAACTGCCAAAGCGGCTAGATAACGTCTTAAACTTAATGCTTTTTCGTTTTCATAGTATTCGAGGGGTCTTAATAAATTTTTACTATCCCTATTTTCTAGTTGAATGCGTTCTGAAGATTTTAAGGTGTAATCATGATAGGGATAAATGAGACAATTCTTGGGGAACTCCAAACTATGGCAGTAAGACCAAAATTCCGGCAGCACCTTACAAACGGAATCTATGCATTTCGGGACAAAATACTCAGGAAGATTGTCGGCATCCAACAGTTGCAATTGAGCAGTTAGAGTTTGAATGTTTTCTAATTCCAGTTGAAAGAGAGTACGCTGTTTTTTCCAAGTACCCTTCTCTAAGGCGGGTTCGTAGAATCCAGGCGTTAAGCAATCTCTCATTGAAAATGTTTCTTTTACAAGTACTTGAAAATTTCGCATTTTGAATTGTCGGAGTTCTCGCTTATTAGGTATCGTTTTAGATGTAGAGGGAAGAGAGCGAACGTCTTGCTGTAATTTTTGGGTTTCACCAGCAAATTTGATCTTGATTTTCGAACATTCCACTTCTTTCAAACGTAATTCCGTTTCTTTTAGCTCGACTCTTTTAGACAACTGGTTTATCTTAGTTTGACATTCACTTTTGGCCGCCTCTACACTGACAATTTTTTCCATTTTTAAATTTTGCATTTGTTGTTTCAAATGTCGCAGTTCGTCTCGTAGCAAAGAAGCTTCACCATCCTGGCATTCCAATTTTGCTTTGTTCTCTGTGAGATCTTTAGCTAATCTGGAATTTTCCTTTTTCAGGGATTCGACCTTCTCCGTTAAAAACTTCATTTGTCTTTCTGAAGCCAATTGACGACGAGCCATACTCTGCGAAGCCGGTAAAGAAGATAACGGGAGGGTGCTTTGAGATAATACAAACTCGGTCAAATTTTCACTTTGTTTTGGTGTCACTGCTTGATTTTTCGCATTTACTTGCGTTCCTTCCGATTGATATGGCCGCAATAGTGAGGCTACAGGCTTTTTAAATGTCTCATCATTCGTTTTAGCCACCATATCCAACAATTTATCGTCATCGTCTTGAAATAATTCAGTGAGCAAGTCCGTCTTTGGTAATGTTTTTTGGGTACTTGTAGACGCCTCCTTTGAAAACCCGGTAAAAATGATTTCAGTTTCCGGCACATTAATCTCTACTTCCGACTTTTCTTCAGCTACCGCAGCTTCAGCCTCTTGAGTGGCCATAAGAATGACGTCGTCATCGTCATCATCCCAAAAAGCAGACTTTTTCGGACTGCATTTAACAACAGCCGCCGGACGATTTCTGCTAATACTTATGTCTAACTTCGGCTTCTTTATTGAGCGGCCGAACTCTTTCATAGGTTGAATGCGTTTGGCCATAATTCTTCCCTTAACTAGCTATCCGCACAAGTCATAAATTAACAAATTTATGCCTTCATAAATAATTGAAAAGATTATATATATTTTCTTTATTTTTTATTCTTGTTCTTCTTTTTAAACGTTCACCGAGTCAATCACAGATGATTCGTCGCTCTATACAAAAGCAGGGTGTCAACACAAGTTTCTTTTACATTCCTTTTTTTCGCGGAATATATCTATTTTGAGATAGAATAATAATTAAAAGAACTACGAGCAAATTTTGTTAAACTTCTTATTCTATTGCTTTAGAAAAATAAGAAATACAAATTTTTTATTTGCCGCATAAAATCAACTACAAACCTCACATACTTACTTTTCAGTTTTTAATATGTCTGCTTGCTTTGCAATTTGCAATTTGTTATTGCATAATAATAATTATGTCACTTATATATTAAATTAGGACCTGTTGTAATCGACATTCGACTTTGGCTCACTTTGAAATTTGTAAACGTCTCTGCATTAAGTTTGACGGCATTGCTAAACCATAATAAATGTTTATGTGGTTTTTTTTGGATAAGAATCGTTCGCACGTGCATGTCACTAGTGATAAAATTGTCTTACGAAAATACGAAATCTTTGAAAATATCTTTAAAAATGCAAACTTCTGATGAGAGACCAAAATTATATATGGACGAGCATAAACTGAAACAGGATCCTCATGATTACGGTTTAGCTGACGATCCCTTTGACATAGAAAGCTTTAAAAGAAAGTTTAAAATCATTGTTGTGCGGTAAGTATTCCATATTCGTAACTTTATAATTTTTATTAGTTTTTTCACTGTTTCCAGATATCAAGGAAATGAATTGGAGTTTGATATGGTTGGCGTTCATCCGGGCATTGCTAATGCTTTTCGACGGCTGATGCTGAGCGAAGTGCCAAGTATGGCTATCGAGAAGGTTTACATTCACAACAATACGTCCATAATACAAGATGAAGTCTTAGCTCATCGTTTAGGTTTAATACCACTTAAAGCAGACCCACGACTTTTTGAATATCGAGGAGATGAGAATGATCAAGGCACGGAACAAGACACTTTAGATTTCGAGTTAAAGGTTAAATGCTCGCGTCGTAAAGATGTTAAGGAATCTTCAAATTTTGATTCTATTTATAAGAATCACAAAATTTATTCAGGGCAAATAAAATGGTTGCCTAAAGGGAAACAAGCGCAAATCTACAGTGAGTCTGATGTGGGTCCTATAGACGATGACATATTGATTACTCAAATGCGTCCAGGTCATGAATTAGATATACGGTTGGCGGCCGTTAAAGGTATTGGGAAAGACCATGCCAAATTTTCACCCGTAGCCACTGCTTTTTACAGGCTTTTACCGGAAGTGAAGCTAAAAAAAGACATTGTTGGTAAAGACGCCTTTTTGTTGCAGAAATGTTTTTCACCTGGTGTTATTGGACTTGATGAGAACGATCGAGCTTATGTGAAGAACGCCCGGTACGATACATGCAGCCGCAATGTTTATAGATATCCACAACTTGCAGATGCTGTAGAAATGGCACGTATACGGGACCATTACATATTTACTGTTGAATCATTAGGAGCTCTAAAGCCAGATGTTATCTTCATTGAAGCCGTAAAGTTGCTAAAGGGCAAATGCCGAAAGTTTTTGGATGAAATTGAGGCAGCATAATTTTTTTTTCCCTTCAAACCTTTTTTTTTAGATGTTGAGTTAAGATGGAAATTTCAAATAAAATAATAAATATTTAGTACATAAACATACTCTCGAATTTCATTTGGCTCTTTTATTTCCCTGGCTATGTGCATGCGTATGGAACTATTGCTCTCTCTTTCTCATCCCATTGAGTTAAGACAAAAGCAAATGTCGATAACGATAAGCAACGATAAGCATTTAAACATATGTCAAAAAAAGAAAAAATCAGACAAGGTATTGAACGCTGAAGTATTCTACAAATAAAGATGTCCAAGCATCCGGCTCCAGGTGAATTACATTACCTTAGTGTCTCAGCTTTAATTAATTTAATATTTTAGAAAATCAGCGTGTCTATCCTTCCGCTCCTCCAGCGCTTTTCAGCAGCAATGATTTCTCGCAAGTAATACAATTTCATCAAAGTGTTGGTTTATGACTAATATATTTTTGTGTTTTTAGAGGGCTCCGCCGCCCTCTTATGAGGAAAGTTTAAAGATGTCAACGCCATTAACAAACTTACCTTCTCCATATTACGCAGGCCAAGGAGTTCCATTGGCGCCCGGAACATCTTATGGCTATGTCAATCCATATCAAGTTCATGTACAACAACAGCAAAGGCATTACAACCCAATGTCTACTAGTTTTCAATCAGCTTGCACGCAGCCCACGCAGCCTTCTCCTTCGAATGCCCAGGATAAAAATAGAAATGTTTTACTATTGGCCAAAGGGGCTAAATTGCGCACAGCACCTAATGGTGCTATTAGTATTCCTCCGCCTCCCCCAGGATGTGCACCATCTGCAGCCCAATTGGCTGCCATGAAAGGTCAACCTGTATTGGTCAAAAAACAAAAAGGATCCTTTTTCTAAACAAACGAAACGTGGCGTTTTTCCTTTTGAAGACAATATAACTATTACTGAGATATACAAACGGAATAAGAATAAGCTAAATAGAAGAGAATTAAAAATATCTCATTTTTCTTCTTGTTCTTGCATATATTTTGTAATTCATTTTTCTGACATACATTTCCTTTCGAAAATTAAGGCTATAGAACTATCCTTTTCATGTAAAATGTGAAATAAAAATTTAATAGCACGTGGAAACACAAGAAAAGTTTTCTGGCGAATTACTCGAATATCGGTTCAAAGTATGTACTATCGAATGTATTCACCCGCACAAAACCATCTTCTCCGCCTGAAGCAAAACTTTTACCGTCTGGATGAAAAGCCAAACTGTTTATTGGTCCAAAATGGCCTTTAAGACGAGCAAACTCCTCCTCGTAAATTAAATGGAAGAAACGGGAATCAAATTTACCGGCTTTAGTGGAAGTGGTTGTAACTTCCATTGCGTCTTGACCACCGCCCAGTACTACGTGGTCCAATATGGGACTAATCGCGGCGGAGTTTACCGGCCGCTCGGTTTTATAAGTTTTCAAACACATTAACGTCTCAGAGTCGAATAATTTAGCCGACGTGTCTTTAGATGCAGTTACAAACATCGTTCCGTCTTTGTACATTTGCATGTCATTTATGCCAGCCGTATGATCATTAACGGAATTTACTTCACGTCCTTTGCGAACATCCCAAATGGACAGTTGACCGTTATCGTGCCCAGTTATGATTGTTTCATCCAAAGGACCCCATAACATTGAGGTAATTTTGGATTGCAACATAGGGAGACGTAAGATTGGACTTTGATCAGCCGTGGTTGCGTCCACTGTTCGTACATCAATGAGGAACAATTCAGAATTTTGTCCCATAGCTTTATCGGTGGAGTAAGCAGCTTGATTGCCCGAATAACTAAAATTGCAAGTTCGCACTGATGACTTCGAAGGAATAGACGCAATAACTGTACCATGTTCTACATCCCATACTTTGGTAGTCATGTCACCAGAGCCAGTTATCAACTTTGTGGTCGTCCAATCTACGTCAAGACACCACACAACTCCTTGATGTCCATCATAAGTGCCCAGACGCTCGCCGTTTAAAGAATACCAAACGTTAGGCTTTTGATCCTTGGAACAGGAAAAAAGCAAATCTCCTTCGCGATTGTATTTAATCCGAGTTATGGAACGTTCATGTCCCTGAAGCATTAACGGTCTCTGAAATGCGAGAATAATCGTGGCTTATTATTTTGTAGGTTATGATCGCCAAGTCGACATAAACAAAAAATTTAACTACTTTAAATTTCTTATTAAACATAAACGTTTTATTTTCACGCAATTGCAAGCAAATCAAAAAATTAAACGACTATGTTTTTAGAATAATTACCATTTTTTATTTTTTTGTTAAAAAAATCTTTAATGTAAATCACAACACTACTTCCAAGTTCCTAACAAACTGTCACACAGAGTGTTGCCATTGTCGGCCACTCTAACAAACTTGACAACTAAAAGCGACAAGAAAGGAATGAGAACATGAGTTGACGTTAGGGTAAACACGCTAATCCAAATTAATTAATTAAATAACTAATTAATTAACTCAACAAATAACTTCGTGTTCGCATTAAATCTTTTTAAGACTCATCATCATATGCTGTTGACTTGCTGAATTGCAGAAAAAAGAGAAGAATTAACACATAAACAGCTGTTTTAGCTTATTCATTTAGTAGCTACAATACTATAAGATATTTACGTAAATTTTGCCGATGCGTTACAGTTTATTTTCACTCTACATATAAAAAAAAACTTTCCAAATGCGTAAAAATGTCGCGTAATATGCAACGTTTAACCGATAGCTTACGTTTACAATATATAAATTGGTGCAGGACTAGATTCCAGATAACGGGACCATGTAAGCAACAGTGCAGATATACCGCCACTGACCCTGTTAAAGGAAAAGGCCCCATATCATGGAAGAGTTTTGCGGCCATTAGTGGTCTCGGGGCTATAGGTTTGGGTTTTATGTTATATGTTAAAAGTGAGAAAGAAGAAGCTATAATGAAAGAACGTAAGCGTCAATTGGGTAAAGCTGCGATAGGAGGTCGATGGGAACTGATTGATTCCAAAGGAGCTCTCAGAAAATCTGAAGACTTCTTCGGCAAATGGCTGTTAATATATTTCGGATTTACTCATTGTCCGGATATATGTCCAGATGAATTAGAGAAAATGTCGGCCGTTGTGCAGGAAATTGGTAAGTTAAATAATGCTCTAATAAAGAGTACAATATTGAAATTATTTACATTTTAGACAAGACTCCTGGAAATCCGGAAATACAACCGATATTCATTACAGTTGATCCGGAACGCGACAGCAAGGAAGTGGTGGAGAAATACGTTAAAGAATTTTCACCGAAACTTTTAGGTCTAACAGGTAGTGTTGAGCAAATAGGCAAAGTTTGCAAAGCCTTCCGAGTGTACTTCAGCGCTGGCCCACGTGATAAAGACAACGATTATATTGTAAGTTTATAAAGTCCGCCGAAGAGCAGTGTTTTCTGTTACTAATATTTTATATTCTATAGGTCGACCATACAATAATTATGTATTTGGTTAATCCAGAGGGAGAATTTGTTGATTACTATGGGCAGACACGTGACAAAGATCAGTGTGTTTCTTCTATATTGATGAATATGGCCAAGTGGGATGCTCTAAATAAAAAATCATGGTTTAGTCAAAAATGAAAAATGATAATCTTTGGCTTCGCTTAAGAACTCGGCTAAAAGCATTTAACTTATTATTGATATCGTTTGGCACAAAGTTTAATTTGTACAATCAAATAAAGAAAAATTGAATTAACTATTCGCTGTTCATTTTTAAGTACCATTTGAAATAATTTGATTTTCTTATTTACTTTAGTTGTCAATAGTTTTACATTTTATTTACTTTTCGAATCCGTTTCTAATTTGGATATAGTCTTTTTCTGTTTATAGCTTAAATCAAACGTGTGCGTTGTGTCCGTTTTTAAATTGTCCTTGTTATAGTTGCAAATACATTATCAAAAGTTTATTTTATACATTTATTCATTTGCTTCCCCTACATAAGTGAATTCGTTTTCCAATCTCTGAAGTAAATAAAGAAAAGTGCAACAAATTTCACATTCTTGTGTTTTTGTTATTTACGTGAATCTTATCAAGAGCTTTTTCCATTTCACTGTCACATATGCGAATTTATTTACTCTCTTATGAAATCGATTTGATTTAAAAATCCTTAGGAAAATATGGTTGAAATGGTTCAATCGAGCTGGGAGAAAAAATCGAAATAAGAAATGTACGTGCTTAAAGGACAATAAAAAAGTCCAATAGTCTGATAAACTTGGGTATTCAAAGCGCACTTCTAAAATATGTGAGATGGTATAGTATAACATACACATCCTTGAAACAGGGATATGCATATTGCTAATAAACGACAGTATAGACAATTTTATTTCACGAATTATAAAGAAAAAGAAACACTACAAAGAAACAAAGTAAAAAGACGAATTTATATATTTTTTTAAATTTTTGTTTTTTCTGTGTAATATATATTTATATTTTTCTTCTTTAAAATAATTCATCATAAACTTGAAATCTATTTGTTTCTTACGTAAAAAACAGAAAATACAATTTTAAAATAAAAAATAAAATTAGTAATTTTACATACATAAATATTTTAACGCTATTGCTATTCGTTTGAATAGGAAGGGATATATAAAATAAAAATTTAAATATAAATAATACAATTTCTTTTTATCTTTATTTATTTTTTTTTTACCGTTTGTATTAACATTAAAATTTATGAGTTGTGTATATTTTGTTGCTTTTTATTTTAAACTTAAAAAAATGTGTATATATAAATTAATCTAAAAAAAAAAGAAAAGAAAAATAATAAAAAAAATTGTACACAGCGTTCCGTGTATTTATTTGACAAACTAAGAGTTTTACATGATTTTGTTATTATAATAAATTATAAAGAATGTGTTATGCTCTTAAAATTGAGTTGTTTTATCTCTTAAAGTTATTACGCATTTCGTTTTCATTTTTCCTTTTAATAAATTCTTAAAATTATGATGTGGTGTTTTATTATTATCTCTCTTAAAAATTACTAAGCAAACTAGACTACAATGGTAGCAGCGGAAAATAAGGGAGAGAGAAACAGATAGAAGTCGTGCACTGTGTATTAATACATATTTTATATAATTTCTTATTATTTGAAAAACAAAACAAAAAAAGAAAAAAGATTTTAAATACTTTTGGATCATGACGTCGTCGTCGTTGGTTTGTCTATCAATAATTTATTTTTAATCGCAATAGATCTATACATTATATCTGATCCTAACTTCATATATGCCTAAATAATCATATTTGGGAGTTTCTACCTAATTTTCTCAATTACATCCATTTTCATTTATGGGAAACGTTCAATTCAAACGATTGCAGATAATTAAAAATAAAATATATATATATATATATATATATATATATATATATGTACTTTTTTTTTTTTGCGTACACATATTGAAATAGCAAGCGATAAACCAAAACGTAGAAAAGTACTCAGCAGCTTTGTGACCGCAAGTCCAGTTGTGTCAATAAATTAATTAACAATATTAGATCGTCTCGGATCGAGGGAGTACGTTCAAATTAAATGTATAAAAAAGATGAATCCAATAAATAACTCCAAGTAAAAGAATACCCGTAAATCGCGAGACGACATGGATAGGTGGGACGGCAGACTGTCCTTTGATAGAAGTTCAGGAATTTTTGTCAATGCCACTATTCAAGTACCTACAGATTCGATATATTTTCAACGGCAAACTCATGATATGTGGATTTTCGAAAATATGTAGATTTCGCTTTTGCAAGAGCGTCGCTCGTTTTTTTTTTCTCGTAATTTCCCATTTACACGGTTTTCCAAGTAATACGAATTGCAAAAGAAAGCTTTGCTAGCAAAAATCAAACCATGTAAAAGTTGCAGCAAACGATCAAAGTGATATTCAGTCAACGAGAGAAGATCCGGATATGGATATCCATCCAATAGTAAATACGATGAGAGATAATAATTAAAGTTTTAAATAATTCTCCATTCTCTTTAGATTCGATTTTTGTATGAGATTTCAATCAATAAATGTGTAAGTTTAAGTAACGGGTAAGTAAATTGCACAAAAATCGGTTTTAAGAAAAGCTTTTGCACTTTTCCTGTTTCCAAAGTAAACAACGAGCATCTCATTTAAAATTGTATTAATTTATCCATCATTAATTCGATGGAGGAGGAGCCGGCAACCATGCAGGGGGTATAGTCGAATATATATATTAATAACATTAACATGCCTTAGATATATGACGATTAATAATGGCCATCTATCAGTCAAGCCAATGACGTATACATATATAAATAACGTAATAAAATAAACTAAATAATCGTTGAAGATGAGATTACAATCGCTAACTAATCAGGAAATTTTTTGCTATTCCTCTCATCTATTTCACTGAAACGTCAAATAAAGCAATGCTTTTTTATCATACATAGTTTTCTGGACAATCCATCTCCTGGTTTTTTAAAAGAAAGGAAAACATGGAAACATGAATTTCAGTCTGCAAATGTTCCGCAGTAAAAAAAAGGACATTTCGACGCCATTCTTTTTAATGATGAATAGCGTTGTTGTGCAATGTGCATTGCTTGCGAAATGAAAGCACTTCACTTCCAAAGACCACCAACCGCAGTCTCCCCTACAATTTAAGCACTTTTAGCATCAAAATAATTCTTCTCTTTTGTAGGCGTATAATAAATATATATAAAATTAAAAAATAAACTTATGGGCACTTGCCTTTGTAAATAGAGGAAAACCTTTAATAAGCTTACGATTATGTTTTGCTTATAACTTATTGTTATAGAATGGAAAACTGTTTGATTTGCTTTATATTGTTAGCACAATCTAAATGGATTTTTCTTTCTTTTTTTTTTTTTTTGTATTCATAATAAATCCTTTCTCAAGTCGCCTTACTTTGTGTTATCTTGTCTTCGAATTCTTATATCCACCGCAGAGAGTGTACACAATAAAGAGTACATAGTCTCGATTAGTTCAATGGAATAGTGCAGCACTTTGCTGCTGCTCTTGCCTAGCCGGAGAAATCACAATTATAACCTTGACAAAGTTCTTGAGGTCATCTAACAATTTGTAAAGTTTTCTCGATTTTCTCGTATTCCCAAAATGATCTGTTGTTACCTGTTAAAAACCTCAAACATCTCTGAAGTACGAAAAATAGTCACATCAATCCAAGGATTCAATTAAAATGTACTTAAGGGGGGAAAAATGCCAAAGGCAATGAAAACTAATTTGAAGTAATATGAGCTAATCGTAAAATCAAACATTGTAAAAAGGCTAGCGGGGGGCATTAAAAAGTTTGGTGCAAACCGAACACAAACTCCTTCAAACACCTCAGCTAGGCCAGCTGCTGCTGTTACAAAGCCGCATTAGCTCTGTAGGGCGGCTTTGTAAGATGGAAAGCTGCATCGAAGCAGGCACACATTATAAAAAAGCTAGTGGTGGGCAATCAAAGAAGAAGGTCTGCGTAAACCGAATACAAATTCTTTCTTACATTCATAATATTAATAATTGTATGAAAAGAAAATTGTTATTACTTTTCTTATTAAACATATATCATTGCGTTTTAATTCTCTTGTATTTGGTTTCTCTCGTACCAGCGAAACTATTGGAAAGTAGCTAAGAAGACGGATTGAATGGCACTTCTGTTGTAATACAAATGTTGATATAAAAAAGTGCTGGAAATTAAAATTTAATTTTTTTTTAGAAATATTTATCATTTCTCGAAAATTCAAGGCGACGTTTTAAGAACACATGTTAAATATAAAAAAGAATTTGCAATGCATTTTTTTTGTTTATTTTTTTCTAAATGAGAAAAACATTAAGAGAACTTTCTATGTATGTGTGCCTTCGATTTTCTTTGCATTGAAATAAATGCCTTAGGAAGGAAATGTAATTAAAGATTATTGGGCCACTCGTATTTTCAACAATATTCGAATAGAATATCACATCATTCTCTTGCGCAACGATTAATGGTTATACAGTTTACTCATATCGTAGGTGAAATCTAAACAGAAAATTGATTACCATTTTCTCTTCATGTTTTCTCATTTTTTACTCATCCTTTTCTTTTTCTTATAAGGATACACATATATATACACATATATGTATATATATATATATATATATACTTTCTTTCAATACATTTGTTTTGAACGTTCGATCAATTCTCGATGTATCAGAGTTGTTCCGCACAATAATCGTTTTTGGCATCCTGAGCTATTATTGCTCATTTTATTGGTTACCATTTTAATAAAAAATTCCTCACTAACTGATTTGCCATTCCCACTATCTACATTAGAGCTCTTATTTTTGACATCTTCCGTCGTCTTTTTTCTTTGAAGGAAGAGAAACATAGATTAATCAAACATCCAAAACAAGTGAACTGAAAGAAAGATATGTATATATATGTATATATATACATCCTTATAACTCCCTATATATATATGTACATATATATACGGGATAAATAATTGATTTCTATTATCCATTCAAATATTATTTAACTTTTATATGAATTAGTGTATGCGTAACGTTCTCCTCCAAAGGTTTTATATCGAAATGCTTAAAGTACTATGTTTTATTTTTTCTTGTTGCTTTGTTTTTTTTTTTTTTTTTACTTATGGTTTTTATAAACGTATGTATAATTTGTAATGAATGCATTATATATATGTATAAACTACTGTATGTGAGTTTTGTTGAGTGGTATTTATATATTATTATTAATAATTTTTATGATCAAATATTATATTTTATACGTATTCATAATTTGTATAAATGTATGCATATATGTATATGTAATGTGACTTTTATACCTATATATAAACGTATATATGTTTATAAATATATCTATATATATATATATAGCTATATATATATATATATATATAGCTACACTTTTATATATATATAAATATATATTACTTATATACCATATATAAACGCATATATATATATTAAATATTTATATTTTCCTATATTATAATTTTTAAATCATGTCATTTTTATTTCTATGAAAGAGAGCATGCGTGTGTTGACATGTGTGAGTGTTTGTTTTTCTTTTGTAGTTTATATAATAATATTTTCCTTATTCACGATTTAACTTAACTTTTAACATTGTGGTCGTCTCTCATCTTCGCCTTGAGGGTAATAAACGATCATTATACGATTTGCCAGATTTGCCAAAAAAAAAAAAGATATTTGCAAACATAACTTAAGCATTTCAATGATCTGTATGTATGAGAGCTTACGTCGAGTGAATTTCTATCAAGTTGTTTTCATCACCTTTTTTCGTATGTGAGTTTAAGAGAAAACTCCATTTCATTGTCATTATGTAAGTAAATTTATTTTTTTTTTTTATATGTATGTTACGGCTGCCTGTATGCGCCTGCCATCGCTTCTACTAAATAATGCGCATTTATATAAAACACACAGTTGGTTGATTAACACTACGTTTCATTCACATGCATTTCTTGTTTCACACATAACATCCACTCTTCTACACAACATAGGTTAATTTGACATTTATTTTATGTTCAATAAATTGTCGTCCCCTCTTCATCGTTGTTGATCGTATCTGCTGTTATCATTGTTACCATTGCCGTCTAGACAAACACCTTGGCCAGGCCGTCTGCTCCCGCACTAGCTATGTAGGGCTTTGTAGGATGGAAAGCTACATCGAATATGCTTTCATCGAATTTTTTGCGGTGTGCCGTTATCTCTTGCACACAGGTTTTATTGTCCAAATTCCATAGACGTATCGAGCAATCGTGCGAGCCCGATAACAAATATAAACCATGAGCGTCGACAGCCAGTGACGTCACCGGTTCTAAATGAGCCACCATAGAATGCACCAATGTCCCCGAAGTGTTGTCCCAAAAACGTATGTGCCGATCCTCGTGTGCTGTAATTGTTATAGGCAGCGTTGGATGTGAGACGACTTTATTAATAAATTTCCCCGTATTTCCGGACATTTCTTGTGCAGCTTCTAATTTAATAATTTGTTTGCCGGTTTCCGTATCGTAGATTATGCAATGAGCACTATTATAAGCCACTACGATGTGATCGACCTCATTACGTACAAAATCTACGGAAGAGGGGACACCTTCGACTTCCGAAGCGGTGTAAGTGCGTAACAGTGGTTCTTTAGTGTATGGCGACCAGAGTTTTACGGTGCCGTCGGCCGAACACGACACTATATTACTGTGCATAGTTGTCAGGCCCCAAACAGCGTCTGTATGTCCTTCAAGGGTGCCCGAATGTACGCTAGGATCGTAACAGTCATACGGATCTATATTCGGTGATGGCAACTGCCAACATTCAATGTTGCCATCCAAACCTCCCGAGTAGCAGGTGTCACCAGTAGTTGACATGCCTAAACAAAGTACTGGTCCTGTGTGAGCCCGAAAAGTGTACAATGGTTCGACATCAAGACTAGCAGACTTTTTGGCTTGCACTGTTTTTTGTAAATTCCACAGCTTCAATGTGTGATCCTCTGAAGCGGTTATAAGCACCGGTTCTTCAGGATGAAAAATTAAAGCTCGGACACCATCAAAATGGGAACGTAACGTATATTTAGCATTCCATGTTTTGCGATAACCAGTGCCACCTGTACCCGAGCCCGTACCATCCTTTGCATTCGAATCATATGTCCCTTCTGAATCGTTATTTACGGTCAACTGCGCTAATTCTCCTAAACCTAGCGAGGCGTCTACATCTTCATCACCTGCAGCAGTCACAGCCGTAATCAGACTACGACGTGCCACGGCTGACCCAACTGTTATTTTTTCCGATTGATCAGTATTTGAAGTTGAATATCCTTGAGTAGGAGTATTGTGCAGTAGGGGAAGGCCGGACATAAAATGCGGAGATGAAACGAAAAAGTGTTGATGACGATAAGCAATGAAATAAAAAAAATTTAATAAAAACAAATGTTAATATTTAAGATAATTTCATTATGAATTAATAATAAATAAATGCCTGTCTATACACCACTCTACAAAGCACTGCCTCATTTTCAATCAAACAGTAAAATCGCATAAATTGTTGTAACCAATTATTTTACAATTGTATGCAGTAAACTGCTAATGAGCATTTTTAATATAAATAAATAAAATTTAAAAATAGAAATGAAAAGAAAAAAATAATTAAAGAAATTAAAGAAAAAAAATAACTAAAATCGCTTAATTATTATTAAAGATTCAAACTTTGTATCAAATTCTTTAAAAACGAGAAAAATCAGAAAGTTTCACTTTGAGCGTTGAATTTTATTTATTGTTATCTGTAGGGTTTGTAGAACGATGCAAGTCAGCAATTCTAAACGATAATCTGTTTTTATATAGAAATTAGAAAAAATTAAAAATAATAAGCTGCTAACAACAACAACTATTAGATGGCGTAAAATAGCGATTAAGCCAAAAATTAAGCAAAAGATTTTTGTTGTTAATTTAGAAGGGGGCGGGGGGAAGAGAAAAAGCCAAAACTGCATCTCAATCAGTGCTGTCACTTGCTATAATTTTCGATAGTTATACGAAAGAAAAAGCTCTGAATCGAATTATTTCTAATAGAGCTTTCAAGTTCAGAGACCGCAAATACTTGTAATAACAAAGACAACAGTGAAAATCGGACAGACACATATAATTGAATGCCGTTACAGTTGATCCATATATTGAGGTCATTAGTTCCATAGTGCTCAGATATCAAATTGTAAAAATTCCTTGACATAACATTTCCATTGCCATTTGCAATGACATCTCAACAAATGGCTTAAAATTTATACTAGCTTGGCTTCGTCCGCAAAATATTTCTATTCAGATTTCCATATAAAGCTGACTTTTCACATCTGACGACTTCCCGACGATCAATTTCCATTAGAAAATGATTGATATAAAGTATTTTTCAAACGAAGGATTCCAACGGTATTCTGTATTTCATGATAAAATTTCTAATTGGAACATATCCGTTTAACACCCATTCTTCCGCCTATGAAGCTCTATTAAATAATCAAGAAAGGCATATGATAGAGTGCAATCAGAGTTCTGTTGTGTTAGCTGAGGGATGTCGGTACCGCGTTAATACGAATTGATATTCAGACCGAACGGACAGATAAGAACAGATAAGAGCAATCAAGTTTTCTATATAATATTATCAATATTATCTGGGTCCATGTTATATGAGCGTCAGAATAGATTCCAATACCTCGTTAAGGTAGACGTTAATTTAAGTCCAATCCAAATAATTTTTGTCGCGGTAAAGAAACTTCTATCGCGTTACATGAACGCTGCGTTACAAAAAATTTGAGCAAATGAATCTGCGCACGACGTTCAACGGAATCGCATAAATGAATAAATTGTACATAAATCAGGCCTAACAAATCACTCAATAAGTTGGAATGACATATATACGAATCCATATGATTTTTAGATAATACCAATCTTCACATGAAATTCAGATTTTTTTCAACCTTTTACAAACACAACAGTGCTGTTACGAAAATAGCTGTATCTTGGAAGCTGGAAATTAACGGTCGGAATGTCGCGAAATTTTAAATTATTTTCATTCATGCATGATACTATCTAAAATCACATGTACTCGTCAGTACCGGAGATATTTATAAGTCGTCCGACGAACTTATTGAGTGATGCTTTATCGACAAACTTACATAATAACCGTATTCCAAACGTATCAATTTGTAATCGATACATTCTTTTCTCTTCTCTAGATCTTTTTTTATTATTCAGTATCAGTGTGAAACCTTTGCGGTTTATCTTTCACGAAAAAGGGGCAGTAGAAGAGCTATCGTAATTTTTGCTCAGCTTTATATGGAAATTGCGTCATAGGAACACTAAGTCCTAGGGAAATTAACTATCGTTGCATCGTAGCTTTAGAATCAGTATCAAGGGGGAACGGAGATATACTCTAAACTCCGGTCCAAATTGTATAGTTGCGGATTGAAAACGCGGACATGGAGCAGGCAGTCATTGCCAGGGGAAATACAGGCAAATATGCAGCTTAACCGAAATACAACCAGTAACACCTGTTGGCTTTACACTTTCTCCTCTCGTACAAATTCCTATGTGAGTTATTTGTTTCGAAGCAACATAAGCCACGTTTGTACAATCTTGTGCCCAGGACACAATAACAGCTACTAGGACTATGCTATGCCCATATAGCTATACACACACCCTCGTTACTAGTGTGTTTAGGAGAGAGGGTATGAGTGAGAGAGATAGAGATAGAGAGAGAAAGATGGAGAGCAAGGGTTATGAATGTACACATATTTTGGTTTACGATTTAAAATCGATACGATGACCCAATAAATACATCTTAATAGTTAAGAAATCGAAAGCGCGTACTAGAAATACGACCATATTTTCGCGGATAAATAAAATATTGGCTTGGCTTTTCTAATATATATTTGTCGTGTAACTTGGCTTTAGATAATCAAAATGCAATTTTTGGCTTTTCATATAGTACACATCCACTGCCCGCCATATTACGTGGATGAGGGCAGAGAGTAAACTGAAATTATATTTTGCAACATCACTGATATCGAATTTCAGTTGAAATGAAAACGTCAAATATTTAAATACAAAATTTATCTAAACAAATCAACAACAACAAGAACAACAACACAATAATAAGCACCTTCAGTAATAAGATTAATATCATTCAGTAGCTGCTCCCCCACTGCGGCTTCTAGATCTTTTTTGTTGTTTTGAAAAAAATATATATAAATAAACAAATAAATAGCAAAAATAATTGTTTCAAGAATACACACATTGTTACTGTTAATAATCAAAGACATATATATATATAAGATGTTATATAAGTATGAATGAATATGAAAATCAAATTTCGATTTAGACAAACGCCAAAGCATAATGAAGGAAATGGAAAATTTTAATAAATAGCTTTGTTGTAAATAAATGAATTATATAAATTATGCATATGCATCTAACTACATTCATACATTTTATGTTAATAATAAAGAGAAAAAAGAAAAAGGTATGAAAAATGATTGAAAGCAGAAAAACATTTCCCATAGTCACATAATATTTTTATTGCTTGCGAACGAACATATGAAAAAAGAAGCGAATATTAATTGCGCAAAGGAAAGTGCACTTCGTTCCGCACATAATATAGTGAGGCATTCTCCCATTTAAAATTTGTTCTTACAAATTAATTCTTAGTAAAAAGAATAGGGATAAGTTTAATAGTGCAAAAATGAAGAAGAGAGAGAGAGAGAGAGAGAGAGAGAGAGAGAGAGAGAGAGGTACAGAGAGAGAGAGAGAGGGTGAGAGAGAGGGTGAGTGCGAGGAAATGAACAAAGTTACTATTTAAATGCGATCATATTGCTACAACATACATATGCGTAGATAATAGAAGGAAAATGTATATAATATATATAAATAATAATATACATATATATATATGTATATATATATGTGTGTATATATATGAGAAAAAAGTAAGATCGCATTCTTGTTTCTTTTTTTTTTTAATCGAGGAAAAGTAATAATAAATTTGCTTACATACATACTGTTGTTTATATATGTACATAAATGGTTATATAAAAAAAAAAATTTTTAAAATAACCGCGCATTTATATTTGAATGTTACCTTCACTGCGTAGGAGTTTGGCATTTAAGGTGCTGCTTTCCATATGGGGCTTATCATTATCGCCGCCAACCAATTCTAAATCATCGGAGATTTCATCGTCATCTGACATTTCCGTTGGACCTAGAAATTCGAAATTTGCCATTACAGCCGCTTCAGTATCTAATATTAAAGTATCACTGGGCTGTTGGATCTTTTTAGCAGGTGTTCGACGTCCTTTAAGCAGAATTGATTGAAAATTGAAATAAATTTTGTAAAATGGAAATTTTGAAGTGAAACTACCTTCCGATTCTGAAGCTCGTTTGTTATTCTCGTTGCCATTGACATTAGGACTAACATTCTCCTCCTGTTCGGCATTATTATTAAGACCCAATATGGAACGTACACGATTCGAACGTACATCTATAATGTTGTCCGTGTAACCAATTTCCGCCAAATATTGCCGCAACATTTGCCGTCCCTGTCGCCATGTTGTATTTGAGACGGAACTGTACGGTACCTCTGAATCGGGCGCCACTTCAGCGCCCAGAGATGTGTCTTCATTTGATGGTTTCATTTCATTCAGTTGTGGTGGATCGGTACCATATTTTAAGCGATAAAATTTGGCACGTTCTTGCCTCAAAGCATACTCTAACATTTTAATGCGCCGCGTTAAATCCGACTTAAGGCTTTCTAAACACTTGCGTTCACCCAACAGCATAGCTATACGAGCCTAAAAAGACAAAAGCGCAACAAATACGACAAAGTGATTTAGTTAAATCAAGTTAATCGAAATAAAAACAAAAACAAAAACATATAGAAAGAAACTTTTTTGTTCTTATGCACAAAAGCTCAGGACGTTTAAGCATGAATTTTGACTTTTTTCTAAATCTCCCAAAGGCTTTCAAATGCGTAAAAAACATATAAAAAAGTGTGATTGTGGGAAAAACTTTTTTTTCTTCTTTTTTTTCGCATCTGAAATAAAAATATTATTTAAAAAGAACACTTTTAATTTACGTAATTTACTTTTTCCTACGGTATGCAGGACAAATATTTTGTGACTCTGATGATAGACTCTGATATTTTCACTCGCAAAGTTTAACATTTCTGATCATAATCTTCTTCACAACATATCGTCATTTGAGAGCGACTCGTGTTCTTTGCAATGGCCGACCCATAAACACCAATGTACGATTGTATGATTGCTTCGAAGTGAGCTAAGGGTTCGAATTCGAAACGTTTCAACAGAAATGTTTGCCTTCTTTTTGGAGTAATCGGTTATGTAGCAGTTCCTTTACAGGAATGTAAGACGGTCTGAATGGCACACAGCCGTTTGTTGGCCGAAGATTGTTTGTTAAAGAAGGAAAACGACAAACAAATAAATAGGATTGGATCATTCTTCTGCTAAATTTCGATGGCTTCGTTTTAGCGACCAACAAAATGCTTACACGGGTAGACGATCGGACAATCGGGCATGGTTAAGACGATCCAGAATTTGATGGTGAAGCTTCCTTCTAGATGTTGCAAACGTTTTGACGTGAATACACCCCTCCATCCTTTGGTGATGAGTATAAAGAATAGAATTAATGGATCATCATCCGTCCGTTTGCACATAATGAGCTCTTTTTGTTGCCGAACTTTAGTTATAAATTGCGTCCGTTATTTTGTTAGAAAGGGAAGCCGCTGATGTCCTCCGGAGATATCTCAAGAGCTATGACCAATGGCTCGGATGTATATAAAATGATATGTAGAACCGACGACTGTTAGAAAAAAGATAACCGGCTATTACATGGCGGTCGTCGTTTTGGGCACACACAAATTTAGACTCTATTATATTGTCTACATTGCCGTCGGAGGCGTGGAAAATTTCGTCATGGTCGGATATACAATGAATGGATTCGATGACTTATAGGACGAAGGCAACGAATGAAAGATAAATTTAACATTTGAGGCTACTAGAATACAATGTGCGGCGATAATTTGCGGAGAAGACTTTTTTACAATTTTTTTCTTTCCAGAACGATTGCGGATACGAAACGGTATATTAGTTTATAAGGTTCTTCCTGAGTGAGAAGCGTCGAGAAGTCAGTGAATTATCGCAAGGTGCAGAAAAACTATACTTTCGAACTTTGTTGGCGAAAGCCTTGTGCAGAAGCCATTGTGTGAGGAGTAATACATCTTATATGATTATCCCTTTCCCTTTCCCTTTGGGTTCTCCTTTTCCCTACTTTCAACGGGGACTTTGGACGAACGAGCAGGACTACATCGAAACCTTAGACATAATCAATGCGGAAATATTCCATTGATAGCGTGCATGAGGATAGACCATATATGTATTCCTTCGTGCTTTGTGGTACAAACGCTTGAGAATACATGAGGATTTCTATAGGATCCACCTTGAAGACATCTTGCCACATGGATCTCAAACTACTGAAAAACTAAATGTAGAGGGTAACGTTGACCAGGAGATCAATTAACATCCCCATCATATCATTTCATCGGCAAAAGATGCTTTGACTCTCACAGCAACGAACTAAGACAAACAGAATTCGATTTGGGCACGCATTCGTTGCATGTCCTCAAATATGCATCCCACGATTCATAAACATGGAAACCTTTCGCTGGCGTTGTCAAACATGAAAATCCAAATTTGACCTTGTTTTGGAATGAATACATGACTGCCTTATCTATCGGATCACTGTTTGTCGTTGCTTCGAAATATTTTTACTGCACCCCTTTCTCCTAGGTGTAGTACACAACATGGAACTTGAAGATCCGTAAGGTTTTTTAAAACGTAGGTCGAACAACTGTCACTGGAGATTTTCACTGCAGTTACTGAGCAGTCCCGTAGATATATATGTAGCCATGTTGCTTCCGACTTTTATATAATTTCTCAAGACTATCTAGTTTGAAACGTGAACGCAGCTTTTCTTTGCTTTTTCTTTTTTTTTTTTTTTTTTTTTTTGGTTGAAAAAATTCTATTATGATAATTAATCAGCTGAAGACGTAACGAGAAGGAAAGTTTATTTGATGATGAATTTATAAACATTTCACAGTTTAGAATATGTTTTTATTATTGTTATACCAAGTAACCCAATTGTAATTTGGAGTGTGTGTGTGTGTGTGTGAGTGAGTGTGTTTATATCCTCTCATGCGGTACAATTTTAATTAATTTGCTTAGCAGTGTGAGTGCGCCCGTTATTGCTGCTGCCTGCGCACACTTTCAAGCAATTGATAATATCATGTTTACTAAAAACTGCACACACACGCACGTATAACCAATAAAACTTAATTGCAAATTAGAACATTAGCAAATGCGAAATCTAAATACAGGGTCCCTACGAACGAACATTACTGTCGATGCAAAGTTACAAAGTAACGGTGAGTAATGATGAGCCAGACATTCATGCAGTTATGCGTAAAGAGAAACCTGCGATTGTTTCAAACGGCTCAGATCATACGGTACGTCATCGTATTGCAAGCATATGTTTGATCAGTTACCTTACGGACCTAATTTCCAATGCGAAGCACATTTGTTGTTTTATCATGCTTTCGATGGCGTTACCTTCTGCTCTATTGCACTGTTCCATACGTTTAGCCAAGTCCGACTGTAAACATATTAAACTTAGTGGTCATTAATAAGCTTTCCAATTCACGATTATGGTGTTTAGCGATTAACACTGGATACATAAATAATTCCTTTTCGAATCTTCCATTAGGCATAGCAGAGGACTTGAATGTTTCTCGTAAGTCGACTCAGTGGAGTGGTTCACATACATCTTGATGTCATGAAGATCAACGATTAGGATGGGAATTAAAGATTAATTCGACGAAAAAGTTTCCGGAACAAGGTGGAGTAGTCCCACTCTCTCCTGGCGGAAAAAACTCCGCCTAAAGGAGGTCAATGCATTGGGGAAATAATAATACAAGCTTAAGCTAGTATCCCAGTAATCAGTAGTTTGCCGGTCATGAGCACGAAGTTTCTTACAGCTGTCTTACATGATAACAACAAAGCTCATGCCAGCGGTTCGTAGAAATGCAATCTCGTATATGAAGATGGTCGAAAGAGCTGCGACACTCAGAGTACTTATGCCCGCGCACGTGCGTGCATCGTATCCCGGGCTTAGCGTCATGACGGGACAGAACATTGTATGAGGGGGACTTTCTATATGATAATGAATTTTTTGCTGGCGAACATTGCCGACATTGACTTCCCATATTGTTACGTACGGGGTATATACTCAGTGGGCAATCTGTGTACTTCGCGAGAACACGATTTAATCGAAGAAAAATTCTACTTCAACATGGAAAAAGAAGCGTATTTGATTCGGGCATGCAGTAGTTTCCCATCCCAGATTCCGTTTATTCGTTCCACTAATGACGATTTTCATGCAATAACTACTCAGTTTAGGAATCAATTAACACCGTATAAAAATTTCATGGAGTTGTAATGAAACGGAAGGAAACACAAATACATTTCAGTTCGAATGGCAATTTGTGTTCGAATACTCTACGAAGCCTGTATGTAATAAAGTTAATTGAAAGGGTAAAAATCATAATAAAGAATGGAAAACATTACAAATTAAAATGTAATAATAATCAACTGGACTGTTATGGTACAAAACGTTTTCTGTGCCAAGAATTTTAATTAATAAGTAAAGCAACGAACGACGATGAATACACAAAAAAAAAAAAAAAAAATAACGCCTTTCATCATTATCATCATAAAGTAGAGGGTACTCAAGAAAAAAAATTAATCGTATATCAAAGTATATTCTAAATGGATTATTAAAGTTGCGGGAAACGAGTAGACGCCGCGAAATGGCTCGCTCTGGATGTGCGTTTTAAAATAATTTAATCGCTAAAATAATGAAATGGAAAAATGTCTATGAAGGTTGCGATGTATGTAATCAAATGTGAAACACTTGCTTAAATAGAAATTGTGCAAAAATGACAAAAAAGGAAGAAAAATGGGTCACACATTTATTCTTATTATTATCATTGTTACTATGCTCTACGCCGACTGTGTTAAGTAGTATGTTAGGTTTTAAAACGAACGTATGCTACATCAAAAGGGGCTGAAGAAGCACTTCTCTTCAGTTATTAAAGCAATCATTTTTTCGAATAACTAAACCATGAGAGTCCGTTTATCTGCTTTGCTTTGCCTGCATCCTATAGATCGAAATTTTTGAGTTTTTTTTTTTTTTTCAAATGAATTTTGACAAATTGACAAGTCTTGACTACAGACTGAATAGAGGCATCGCTAGGAGAAGCCAAGACCTGAACACTGCGAAGGGAAAAATTTACTTTTATAATGATGACAACAGGAAGGAAGGACTGTGGCTATTATAGCATTTTATGACAATAAATTGGATCAAAAAATGAAAATTAGATCACGATAGACTATACTTGTTGGACTCATCTTTAGATGGGCGTTCTGATGAGAAGTGAAGTCAGAAGAAGCGAGATACAAGACATAATTTTGCTATTCTACAATGGAAATACACAAGAATGAAGAAATCTTTAACAAGACTAACTTTAGACGATGTCCGTTCACGTTTCGCTTGCTCTCCCAGCAGCACTCTTCATAAAAGCTTGTTGGGAACAAGATGTAGTATTTTTTGAGGTGATGTGGTGTATGGCATTTAACGGTCGGTCTTGCCTAAGTACAACTTTTTAACTTGTTTTTATATATATATATAGAAAAGTTCTGCAGCTGGTCATTACGCATCG